ATTGTTATGTTCATAGTTAACTTGTTAAGGGTTTTCATCAAAAGTAAGCATTGTTCTTGCAACTGGAGCTTTGCTTTGTCAGTTGTCACATTCTTCTTTTGAGAGTCATAGCCTTATGGAAAATTAATTTTTTGTTTTCCATTGAATTTCTGTTCAATTAGAAATGTTGGTGCAACATCGCTCTCTGGGAAGAAGAGAAGAGTTTTGGTTCAAGTATTTTCATCACACATTGAATAATTGGGTTATTGATCTTCATTTCAAGATGTGGGTGAATCAGATTTTGAACCTTTTTAATGCTGTCCTAATGGGCTCCTAGGGACCCCTCTTGAGCTGATCTCTCCTCTGGTAGGTACTGGTTCTCAGTGCCGCTCCCCGCTCCGCCACCTGGGGATCCCAGATGTCCCCTCAATGTTGCTGGTCCTGTAGGACTTCAGTTCCTCCATCTCGTGTTTAGCTGTTTTGAATGAAGCTTTCAGAACCCCTTCTATGGGAATCTCCCACCTTGGACAGGCAAGGCCCTCCCAGGTGCAGCAGTTTTGACTTCCTGCCTTCCCTGGTCCTTCCGACGGCCATATTTACCCTCCCCAGCAGAGGACTCGGTTTTGCCAGGCACTGCTCAGCCTTGTGAGGTGGAGGGAGAGGTGGGAGGATGATGGGAGGAGAGGGAGAGGCTGAGTGTTGGGGTGCAACCAGTGGGGAGGCAGAGAGACTGGGGAGAGAACTAGGGACATGCTGACCCATGTCTGAAATAAAAGTCTCCCCTCGGTGAAGAGAGTGGCTCCTTGGTGCCTAAGAATGGCCCAACGTACAGGAACATGGAAAACCAGTGCAGTTGCTAGACACTTGGAGCCACATTTAAACGAAGTGTACAGTATTGAAGTATGGTTTAACAGACTCCATGACATCTCATGATATATGATAATATATTATAAGGATAAATGAGGCCTTGAAAAACAAAAGAGACCACATGAGGAGTAGCAGTGAACTGTGTAGTGAGAACTTCTGTAGAGGAGAGAGAACAAATGCAGGAGAAAATAAGCATTTTGAATGGTTTTGTTGTTGTTGTTGTTTTTTAGTTGAAATCTCACCCTGTCACCCAGACTGGAGTGCAGTGGCACACTCCCGGCCACCGCAGCCTCGACCTGCTGGGCTCCGGCGATCCTTCTGCTCAACCTTCCAAGTAGCTGGAACTACAGGCGTGCGCTACCACACCCGGCTCATTTTTTGGTTTATTGTAGAGATGAGGTCTCGCCAAGTTGCCCAGGCGGGTCTCGAACCCGCAGGCTCAGGCAATCCACTCATCTTGGCCTCCTAAAGTGCAGGATTACAGGCTGAGCGACCGAGCCCGGCCGGTTTTGTTTTTAATGAAAGGAGAATTTCTAAGAACTTTTCAAAGCATAAGATGTCAGTTAGGAAAAGGTTTTGATTCTACCTCAAAATAGATGATGGATAAGATTTTTTCTTTTTCAAATCTTAAACTTTGCCACTAAATGGCAGACTTTGTCCTGGTAGAATTTGAATTAGCTGAAATTTTCATCCTGAACTCTGCCATTTTCTCTCTGTTAACAGCATGGCCTGGCTGTCTCCTTGTGAGAAGTTCAGCTGTGTTCAAAGCGTTGTGTCTGAGGGTGTTACAATCACCAGGCTGCTCTTGTTCTTTGGGGACATGGAGGGCCCTCTAGTAAATGGATGCACGAATTACCACATCTTAGAAAATCAGCTATTATTTGTAGGTCTATAGTGAGAATTGGGCACTTACAGTTTCAAAGAGTGACCCACAGGAAGCAGTTAAGGATTAGAGAGGCGGACCAGTTATGTTACCATGACAGTGGGCTCTCTTTTTACAGGCAGGGCAGAGTTTCTAGAACATAGCACTAGTGTCTTAGGCATACAGTATGTCTGCTGTTCTCATCTTATTCTAAATAAAGTCAGATAAACTGTAGGTTTACATTTTCTTTTCATGATAGTAACTCCTTTAGTTGATTCAAGGTACCAGTTTATCACTCTTGTTGTTTATAAAATGAGCATCTGTGTCAGCCTTTTGCTGGTAACAGCATGGTGGCCTTCACAATGCCCCCATGGGTCGCCCTGCAGGCCCAGGAAGCAGGAGTGGGCAATGTGGGTGTCACTGGGAAAACACTGAGGACACAGGCCAGGCATCTGTGACAAGCATTCTTCCTTTTTAGAGAACTGAGCAAACTTAAAATTACAAAATATTCCTTTTCGGTGACATGTATATGCCCAAATACATAGATATTATTTCATCGAAGAACTAAGTAACTGAATGAATGACTCGCAACTGATATATTTGGGGAAAAAGTTTATCCACTAGATTTGGCTGACTGATGTTATCCGCCTCCAAAAATGTAAGCACGGTCACTGTGGTTTTATAGTAATGGCACAAAATGGGTGACTTTTCTGTTTCTTGGACACATGCATGGCAGCCCATCTGATACCCATGTGGGGAAATGCTCACCTGGAGGGAAGGGGAGAGACAGGTGCTGCCTCCTGGGGCTGTCAAGGTGAAAGCGCCCCTTCTTAGGGGCGAACTGAGGTCTTTGCTCTTTAGGACCCCCTCCATGACGGCTCCTCCGAAGAGATCCCACAGGGCATGGTGAGGGGACCCCAACACCCAGGCTCAGCATTTCCTCGGAGGCTGGCCCTGTTGGGGCTATCTTTTTCTCTCCCTCATCCCTCTTCTACAGAAGCTCTTGTTGGGGTAGTAACCTGTCCAGCTTGCCAAGTCATGTAACAGCAGCTTCTCTAGGACTTATGAATCCTGGCATCTTGTCTTAACAACTGTGTTAGTGTCTTAACAGAACACCCCAAACTGGGTGGCTTAAATGACATAAGTTTATTTTCTCACAGTTCTGGAGGCTGTAATCTGAGATTAAGGTGTCGGCAGGGTCACACTCCCTCTGACGGTGCTCAGGAGGCGTCTGTCCCAGGCCTGTCTCCAGGTGGCTTTGTGGCTGTGGTAGCACACACTTTCCGTGTGTGTGTGTGTGTGTGTGTGTGTCTCCGTCTCCCAATTTCTCCTTCTTATAAAGACACTAGTCATGTTGGATTCGGTGTCCACCATACTCCAGTGTGATCTCATCCTAACTAGTTACATCTGCAACTAGTCTCTAAATAAGGTCATGTTCTGAGGTACCTGAGGCTAGGACTCCAAAGTAGGAATTCAGGGAGCACACAAGTCAACCTGTAACAAAGACCAAAGAACTTTGGTGTAGACAATCTAGCAACCCAATGTTGGAGACAGCATGATTGTGTAAACCCATGATTCTTTCTACTATCAGACTAACAGAGCTTCCCTCCCAGCCTCTTTGCAACAAGGAGGCACCCCACACGTCTGAGTGAATGGAGAGTGGATGGATGAACGGATGGATGGATGGATGAGTGGGTCTGTGAAAGAGAGCACAAAAACCTCCAGAAGGGTGCCTTCTGCTGAGGTGCTTGTGTGTGCCCTGCTGTTCTCGGGGCTCTCACAGGATTACAAAGGAGAAAGCAAACCTTCGTGTGTCACCACCACACCCCGCACTTCTCACACCCCACACTCCATGGGGTAGGAGTGGTTATGGTGTCATCATTTAACTTTCTTCAGAACAAACAGCTATCGATCACCCGCTGTGATGCATCGATCACCCGATGTGATGCATCGATCACCATGTGCCAGCACCAGGAGTGGGGAGAGAAAGGACAGACTCTAAGGACCAAAGCTGGGTGGGGCTCAGGCCTTCACAGACGGGAAAGCCAGGCACAGGGGTCGGAGCAGCATCCCAGGTCACACACTGAGTTTGGTCTTCCCCCATCGCCCCTGAGCCCCTCACTTCCCTGGACAACCTCAAGACCCCAAGAATTCAAACGGTGATTTTGCCACCCAGTAGCCACCTCCCAGATCTTCCGCTCCTTCATCTGCAGGGTGCTCCCAAGGTTAAGTCAGGCAACATGTTGTAGTCCTAACTGCATACCACACACACCATGAAATGTGAGCTTGAAGCGTTTCACCTTCTTTCAACCACAGAGGTCCCAGAGCATGGCATGATCTTTAGGCCCAGCTGAGAGCACCTCCTCTTGCCTGTTTATAAGCAATGCCTCCTATGTGTTTGCATGAGGCTGGCCCAGATCCATCTTTTCCTGTCTGAATGGTGTTTGAAGTTTAATGGGTCCTCAAGAAAATTGGCAAAGCAAACGAAGATGATCTAGACTATAAAGCCCTGTTTTTAAAGTTCCACTGTTGTCTTTAGCCACACTATATCATCTGAATCATGACAAACATATCAAGACAAATTAGTTCAGTGACAAGATAAACAGAGGCGAGATTGCATGAAACTAAGAAAATTCCCTTATGTGCACATGGGTCAAGAACTGTCTGGCCTCCGCAGGCCTACCTACTGTCAAAAAGCATTCACTGAAATGGAATATAATGTAATTTTCTCAAACTTTAGTTTTCTCATCGGTAGGAAGCGGGTAATGATACCTACCTCACTGGATCATCATGGGGATTAAATGCAATTATGTATATGAAGACAGCTAGTGCAGAGAAAGCCACACGATAAGCACTTAGCAGACCTACTCCCCGCCTTCTTTTGTGTAAATCCTGACATCCTTCCTCTCTCCAGTCTCTTAGTTGCCCTCACAGAGTACCCTCTTAGAGATGTCAGTGAACTGGTATCTGTCTGAAAGTGAGGATTTCCCATTTGAGATAAAAGTCTGCAGTTTCCACAAGTTAATACAGAAAACAGACTAAACCTATTTTCTTGCTGGGTGGACTCAGGTAAAATTGAGCCCCTAAATACCCAGGATTTATGGAATTTGTCGCTAATATTAAAGAGATTTACATATCTGTTCTCCTCCTGCAGGTTTAACCTGATCACCACAAAATGCTCAGAATACATTGCTGTTTCAAGGACAACTTGGTTATTTGTGTGAAAATTGGACTTTTATTTGTCGAAGCCTGTAGACTTTTGATGCCAATCTATTTAACTCATTCTCTGCAGTTCCTTCAGCTGCCCCTGAAAATGTGTCTGCTGAGGCTGTCAGCTCGACCCAGATTTTGCTGACATGGGCTTCTGTGCCGGAACAGGACCAGAATGGGCTCATTCTGGGCTACAAGGTATGTGTTGAAGTGACCTGTCTTTGCTTAAGGAGCTGGCTGCAGAGATGCTACCACATGTCATTACCCCAAAGCAGTGCACTCATATTCTCCTCCTACAGATCTACAGCACCAACTGATTTCCTGAATTTTATATCAGTTGTCTTGTCTAAGCCTCATTGCAGTCTGGGAACTAGGCATTGGCATAACCACTTAAGAAATGCCAAAACAAGACATCCGCAGGACAGTGAACTAGGAGTGGAACTGACTGCCCAGCTTGTCCTCTGGCTCTGGCCCTCGCTGTCTGGGTGCAGTGGGCCAGTTACTTAGACCCTGTGCCTCTGTTTCCTTGCCTAAAATGGGAATAGTAGTTACTTCACAAGGTTAACTGAGAATTAAGTGAGTTATTATGTGGTGCAGCCTGCTCGTGTTCAGTGCTAAGGATGGACAGATGTATGCATGCTTCTATGGGTCATCACCACCTGGGGCTGTCCTAGCGGTGGCATCAGCTGTGAGGGTTCAGTCTGTCCCAGCTTCTCTGGGGAGCCATTTCTGGGTTCCATCTACCCCAACCCTGGAAGAACCCCTTCTGCTCCTTGTTTCATCACTCAGGGTGACAAGCACCGCCTCCCAAGCAGGGGGATTCGCTTTTCTGGGATTGACCAGCAAGGCTGTCTTGTCATAGATGCTGCTCAGTGGATCGTGAACGTGTCTCCTCTGCCTTTTTCATCCTTCTTTGTTCCCCCTACCTGTTCTCACATGTCTTTCCCTTCCCTGGCATTCTAAGCATTCTCTACCAGCTTGTGACATGTGGCAATCCTTTAAAGTGAGTTCGTGACCAGAACACCACACCACAGTCCTGGAGAACATGCTTCTGCAGTCTTTTTATATATATAAAAAAAGTTTTAACATTTTTATTTTTTATATATATTTTTATTTTAAAATTGTGGGGTTCAGTTAAGGGTTAGGTATACAAATATTCATTGTGCAGGTACCCTTGTTGATGAGGTATGCCCCACTTTCCCCAGACAGATATTGACTACCATTAATCCCACCTCCCTTCCCCTCCCTGCCCGCCCCCCATAGTTTCCTGCCACTGTCAATCCTTTTCTTATAGTATTACGGTAGTTGTTCAAGGTCCACTTATAAGTGAGAATATGTTATACTCAGATCTTTGTTTCTGTGAGAGGTCACTCAGTATTATAAATGCTAATTCCATCCAGGTTGCTGCGAAATTCGTGATTTTGTTCTTTAACCGACCTTCCATATGACCCCACAATCCCCCTACTGGGAATATACCCTGAAGAACTCAATTCACTCTATAAAAAAGATACCTGCACATGTATGTTTATCTCAGCATTGTTCACAATAGCTTCTGCAGTCTTTATAAACTCCTTCCTGATGACTCTGTTCTCTGTGGCCTCCTAGGTTCCTGGTCTTTGGGAGCAGTTCAGAGAAGGGACTGTTGAGTGAGGATTTAGGGCCTGGAGGCTCTGGAGGAAGCATCTCAGGGTGACTGGGCCTGCAGCTTGGGCAGCTCCTGATGGCCCAAGGAGGCTGGAGCTTCTAGTCCATGTGACAACAGCAGGTCTTCTGGGGCATTTTCTACAAAGCTGGGAAGCTGAGTAAGCTGCTGGCTCCTTTTGCAGGAAGCAGAATGTCCCCTCTGTGTTCATAATTGAGTCTTTGTGTTACTGGATATGGTTGGCATGGCTGCAGTTGGTCCTCAGTTCTTGAAAATTGTGAACAGGCAGCCAGCTTGCCAAGCCCTGGGCTGGTGCTAACTCAAGCTCCCTTCTACTCTGGAGCGCAGTCGCTTCATCACCAAATGCCACATGTAGAAATTAGATCCACATGCCTTCAACACAGCTGTCCTCGGGGAGAAGACACAGCTGGTTGGCCCTTGATTTACAGCGGTGGCTTCACGAGGTCCCCACAGACACCCTGCCCCGTCATAACCACTGTGTGTCAATGCTTCAGATTCTATACCGGGCCAAAGATCTGGATCCAGAGCCCAGAAGCCACATCGTGCGAGGGAACCACACGCTGTCTGCGCTGCTGGCAGGCCTGCGCAAGTTCGTGCTCTACGAGCTCCAGGTGCTGGCATTCACTCGCATCGGGAATGGAGTCCCCAGCTCCCCCCTCATCCTCGAGCGCACCAAGGATGATGGTACGTTTACGGTTGGCACCTTCGTGTCTCTCTGGCTCCCATGTTTGCTTTTCCAATCCAGACAATTTGGATTGTTGTCATTGTTAGGTTAATTTTCAAGCTACTTTTTTTTCAGTTGGGGGAAACGAAACAAAATTGTTTTTCAGTCACTGAGTGTTTATATGGCCAATTTCAGCCTGGAGTGAATTTTTACAGCCTAATTATGATCCTATGCAGAATTTCCATCATAACTCTGCCATGGGCAGTGCGGGGAGAGGCAGTAAAGGCTGGGGACTGGGCTGTCAAATGTGAGGCTCCTCTTAGCCATAACTACACAAACCTACACAAGTGCCCGTTATCTGGGGATATGTCCCAGGATGCCCAGGGGAAGCCCGTAGCCACGGATGGGGCCGAACCCAATATACATTATGTTTTTTCCCCCTGATAACCAAGACGGCTCCTAAGTGACTAATAAGCAGGTAGTGTAGACTGCAAGGATATGCTGAATAATGGGACAAGGCCCATCCTAGGCAGGACAGAGAGGGGTGGCACAAGATTTCACCAGGCTACTTGGAACAGCACATGATTTGAAACTTATGAGTTATTTATTTCTGGAATTTTTCATTTACTATTTTTGCCTAACCGAGTAACTGAAGTCGTAAAAAGCAAAACCACTTAAAAGGAGGGTACTACTGTAGTTTAAAAAGCCCATTCTGGACTGGCATGTCTCTGTTCTCTTGGTACTGCCCAGTTTCACTGTTTGCGTTACGAGAGATGACTAGAAGTTCTTGGGAAGAGAGCCATGTGTTTGATGGTTCAGGGTCCCCAGGTCCCTGTGTTTCCAGTCCTGAATAACAAGCACATTGTGCTGGCTTTGTTTTTTATGGAAGCCTAAATCATCAGTAAATATGTTTTTCTGCTCTGCAGATGTCAAACACGTAAAGGTTAGCTCCTTTACTTTTCATTATTAAACAGACTGTAATGAATATGTCAGGGGAAAAATTACTGATCTCCCCCTGCAAACCCACCTTGGGGATCAGAAGCATCTGACAGAAGTGAAACAGTTGTAGAGATTCTTAAACTTCTTTACTGAGTAACTAAATTAGCTCCAAACATAACTCTAACTTCGGCATGTAAACCATCCTCTCCATTTTCCTCGAGAGAGCCCTCCTGGCTTTGCATCTGAGAGACATGACCCTGCAGATTATCTGTCCCTCCCTCCCCAGTACAGGGTCTCAGGCTAGAGGGGGATCCGGAAGGGGAGCTGGATGTGGATGTTGTTTCTTTGCAGAACTTTACGCATCTCTGGTGTATTCTGAGTTACTAAAACGAAAAGTGGAAAGGGGCTTATTAGAGACTGTTCTAACACCAGCACCCCTCCCCCCCCCAAAAGTGTGACTGTTTCTTCCTAAATCACGTGTTGGCGAGTCATGGAAGGACTTTTCTCCATCTGTCACAGTCCTCACGTGGACATGCTTTTCCTCCTCCTCATTTCAATGACTCCCAATGTTCCACCAGGAGATGGCTCAGGGGATCGATGCCTTGGAAGGCTGACATCAGTGTTTACATGTGTGTGAGCCAATCCTGGACAGCAAGACTGTGACCTCCTTCAGACACTCATTTCACCCCCAAATAGATGTCATAAAACACACTCATAATTTAAAATACTGTTCTCAGTTTAATAACCAGAGGAGGAATTCAACAGTGCTGGAATGACTAACACACATCATTTTATTTTTGTATTGACTTCCCCTGCCCACTGCCTCTTATTTGGGAATCAATCCGTTGCTGAGTTCCAACAAGAAGTTTTCATACTGGCCACATACTGACTTACCTATCCACTTAAGTAAATGTATTGTATGAGGACCACAACCCTATTATTCAATAGTTCCACATATACACAGAAAAATTATATGCATTTGCGCATATCAATTCTCAATTTTCTAGAACAATGCAAGAGAGAGGTAGCGTGCATATGTGAAAATGATTGATAATAAACATGTTGTTTCATCAGAAGTTGTAACCTCTATTTCAAATTAGAGGAATTTTAAGACCCCTTACCTAACACCTGTTTTGTAAATGTCAAACCCAGTGAAAGAATCTAAGCTCAGATCAGTGACATCTAGTTTTCTCACATACTAGTTATACCATTCCTAGCATAGTTTATGAGCCCCACTTTTGAAGCTTGGAAAGTAGATGGGCAGGTTTCAAACTGCATTGTTTTGTCAAAATCATCAGTGACCAAAGTCATTCGTCCAAAACTTTCAAGTGTTCCACCCACAAACAACATCATCGTGGGAGTCCCTGCATGCAGCTGGTCCTCAGAATCCTGCGTAAGCTGTTGCACACCGGGAAACATTGTCTTGGTATCCTGATCCTTGTGTTTTTCCCTTCAGCCCCAGGCCCACCCGTGAGGCTGGTGTTCCCTGAAGTGAGGCTTAGCTCAGTGCGCATCGTGTGGCAACCTCCAGAGGAGCCCAATGGTATCATTCTGGGTAAGGGAGCAGCGGCAATTGATTGAAAGGAGGGACATTAAAGTCTGACTGATTTCTTCCATTTTTATTAGATATTTCTGAGGTTAAAAAAATCATGTCTATAGCAACCTAGCATGAACTGAGATGATCATGGGTCCCTCGACTGTTTTCTGAGCCATGTGCTAAGGGTTTTATTTATGTGTTTATTTTAATAAAATGTACATCTTGTTAATCTAGAATTTCTTCCATTTGTTTGAGGTTCATGGCAATACCATTTGTAGTCGACCTTCCCTTCCACTCTAAAATATCAGGCTATTTTTATGTATATTTTGGAAACAATGGGCTAGTTTTTTCATGGAAGATGTAGACCTGGACTTTGCTCCCAAGTTCCTGGAAACATTTTTTGCTACAGTGCTTGAACCCAATCCTTGGAAGAAGCTGCTGAAACGAAGTACATGCCTTGGGTCCCAGGGAATTTGTTTACTTTTAACTTTTAATTCAGAGAAGCAATTTGTATAACACTAATGAAAATCCTTAGTTTTCCCCAGTTGCCCAAAGGCAGCAAATTATATTTTAAAATATCATCAGTTCCTTTATTTATTCACCCTTTCATGGAGACAAATTAAGGACTTTCAGTGTGTCAGGCATCACATGTGTCATGGGAAGTAAGGAATGAATAAGGTGTGCTCGTCCTCCAGAGGTCTGCGGTCCATACAGGAGATACACAAGTGAGAATACAATGTGATGAGTGACCTGAAAGATGTTTCATTAAATTCCCTGCAAGCAGCTCCTTCTGGGTGGGGGTCTTTGTGGGTGGAAGGCTACTTTTGAGCTGGATCTTGAAGGTAAGTGGCTTCTGAAGCCTTGAGGGAAGGAATGAGGGGCATCCACCCAGCCAAGACAGATGGTGTTGCCTGTAGGAGTGCTGGCAGATTCAAGGCCAGTCAGTCACCAAAGGCTGTGAGCACCCTACTGTGCCCTGTAGAATGTGGCCCTGAGGCCTGGATATTTTAAATTGAGCAATTAGCAGCGAGGGTGCCAAGCACAGATATTGCCCCAGACCCCGGACAACGCCAGATAGGGTGTTTCCCCAATCCAGGCACACAGGAGACCCCTGATTCTGCTTGCTGTGTTCTAGGTGCTTTACAGTAAAATTATAGATCTGAACTTACAGACAGGTGACAAAATGCGCCACTTCTGCCTGCTTTTGATCTTGGGATTCTAAGATTTGGTTTGAAGAGTTTCATATCATTTTAAAAAAAAAGTTTGGAAGCTTGTGCTGAACACAGCAGGGATTCATCAAGGACTTTGAGCAGGAAAGTGACGTGATGAGATTTGCCTTTTAGATAATAACACAGGGAGCCTGAGAAAGGTGGGCAAAAAGTCACACATTTACTGAGTGCTTGCTTCACTGAGAGGGGCCTGGAGCATCCCTTAGTCTTGACATAAGAAGGCTGTGGCCTATTTCGCATTGACTCTTTCTTCGTGTGATATCTGGCATTGCTAAATAGAAGTGTTTTGCTATGAGTACAGCAGTTCTGAATTAGGTGACCTTTGGAATTGCAGGTTCCTGCTATGAAAATCACTAACAGCAGCTATAGCAGCCCCTGTGGAAGCTAGCATTTCAGGTCCTGCCCTGGTGGAGATGAGGCAGCAAGCCACATCTTGGGCCCGCACTGTGACCCTGGTGCTGGCGACAGGAAGGGTCTGCAGAGGACATGGCTGGGGCAGAGAGGTATGCGGAGTCTTCTCTTGGGCAGGCCTGCACTCAGCCTAGCACCTAGGCTGAAACCTTTTCTGGAACAGGCATGGCTGATGTCTGGTTGCTTGGGAGTCGTCCCAGCACTCTGTGAGACGGTAAACGTTGATAGAAGTATGGGGTGTAAAATTCGAACCTGTTGCTCCCAGCCTCAGGAGTCCATAAGAACTATGTTCTCTGTGAAGAAGCAGACTCTCCCCATCCCTCCCTGCCCCAGAGCTCCTAGCCCCCACTGCCGGCTTTGGGGGACCGTCCCAGCCCGTCCTGCCACTATGATGACAGGCGTTTACTGTTCCCATACTAGACTGCCAGAATTGGTTCTGGACTGGGCTGGTGGGAGATGTGCCGGAGTAGAGTGTGCTTCATCTGCCCCTCTCACCGTTCATAGACCAGCGCTTGCATTTGGATGCCGTGGCGTCAGCCAAGGGCTTCCTTGCACACATGGGGAGGCCCTGGCCTCAACCAGCTCTAGGCCGCTGTACTGGCCAGTCCCTTGCCTGAAAGACCCTCTTCCTGGAGCCTCTGCTTTTCCTTGAAGACTCACTTTGGTGTCCTCTGTCCCTTCAAATCCTTGCCACCTCCCTCCCCGTGTATCCCTACCTGCTTAGGCACTTCTCCTCATTGCTCCCAGCACGACGTGAGTCTCACGGTCCAAATGAAGAGTGTCAGCTTGTTTTGTGATCTATCATTTACTTTTCAGAGTGCCTCTAGCATTTGTTTTTCTGATTATAAAAACATTATAAAATGATAATTGAGGCAACAAGGCAATACCATTTCACATCAATCAGCTTTTAAGGAAGTGTGATAACACTACAAGAAAGGGACTGGCAATAGTGGGACACTGCCAGGGGGTGGGAGCACATAATGTCATCAAGGGTGCCTGATCCTAAACCAGGTGAAGTGAGGACCAATGGGAGGCCCCGACTTCACCTGTCCGTAGCCCAGTTATGTACCTAATCCTGAATTGTACCCCACATCTTTGAAATGAAATTAAAAAAAGAAAGTGTGATAGTACCAAGTAGATACTAGAGGATGTAGAGAAACAAAACCCCTCCTGCACTCTAGTTAGGACTGTGAATCAGTGCAGCCACTTTGGAGAAGGATCTGGCAATATCCAGGACAGGTGCTCATGTTCATACCCATCCCAGGACTTGTGCACTTGGAGGCTTTTGCCCTAGAGAAATTCTCACACATGTATCCAAGGAGAAATGTGCAAGGCTATTAATGAAAGATGCATTTAAGTGGCAAAAATGAAAGCAATCATAGTCCACACAAGTTACATGGTATGAATCTCAGGCTGCCTGCTCTTATTTCCCCTATGTTTTCAACACTGCGTCCCTGACAGGTAGACTGGCAGCATAGGTGAGGTGTTGGACCAGCAGCCACATGACCTGGGCTCAGACCTCGACCTGTGGCTCCCTAGCTAAGTGTACATAAGCAAGTTTCTTAGCATTCCCATACCCCAGTTTTCCCATCCTCAAAGGGAAAGAACATTCCTGCCTCCCTTGTCAGGTTAAATAAATTGCACATGAGGCACTTAGAACAATGCCTGCCACATAGTAAGTGCTCAACTAATGTTACTTTCAATATAACATTTAATATTTCATCATTTCCCTTGGACCAGAGCAAGCCAGAGTCCCTTTCAAAGTGGAGGCTGCTTACAGGCCTTCTGTGTCACTATGGACTTAGTCTAGTCCTAGTCTTTACTTTGTATTCTCTGACAGTGTGTCACATTGATTTGTTCTCCACAACTCTGGTTGCTGGAACAGAGGTTCATGCTGACAAGAGAGGGAGAAAAACCTAAAAGGCAATTTGGGTTATAAAGCGCTCCAAATGTACATTGAGAAGTTTAGATTTTGATTTTATTCCCTGGGGGTTACCGAAAATCACTAAAGCCCAGGTAAGTAGAGGGTAACATTGAAAATACTTTGAGCACTCCAAGTACAGCAAATGGATGCCAAATCAAGTAGCACTGTGTCTACCTGTGATACAGAAAACATCGCATCTGAGCCCTTGTTGTAATGGCATCTGGCTGTAATTGTGGTGCATGTTGTCTGGGTAACCTGTCACCTGGATGTATTACAGCCAGCACACCCAGTCGTAGGTGCTACCGGAGAGACAGGCAGATATTTTCTAAAGATTCAGTTGGTGTTAATGGAGAGAAAGGAAAACATCTTTTGCATGACTCACTTTGCGTCCAGAGACCTTGAATCAATGCTCTAGCTTTGGCGGCTTGGTCTTCCAAGTATAAAAACACCTCTGCAGCCCGAGCTTTTGTAATCTATATCAAAACATGTTCTTGCATTTCCAAAAGAGATTAACAGCATGAAACACCGGCAGGCACCTGGAGGAAAAAACACTTGCTTATTTGCGTAAATATTTTACTATGGAGAGCTTTTAGCATTTAGAACCTTCCTTTGGGGGATGTGGCTGGAGCCTCCTGAGAACGGCCGCCCCCCTCCACCTGCCAGACAACTCCATGCGTCCTTGAAAGCTATTCAGCTAGTGTGATGTGTGAGCTCCTCAGACCCACACTGGACTGCCCTGGCCTGACCTGGATCCCTCCCCATTCTTCCCCCAGTCAGCAGGTCTCCTGCCTACGAGGGCCTAACCTTTACCTTTGGCTGATTACAAAGGGTGCTCAAGAGCTCTGCTGAGAATTCAGAGCTCAATTAAATTGAATCCATGTTTGCAAATTCATCATGTGGCTCCACTGTTACATCTGTATGCACCCAACTCGCGGGTAGATAGGCCGTAAGATTACAGTCACAGCTCTAAGCTGGGCAGACCTAGGCCTCCTGAGTGATTCAACTGCTGGTAGATTCTCTGACCAATTCATGGATGTTGGTGTGGTGTTCCCCGCACCCACCCATCGACAGTGGCTAACAAGGGGGTCAGCAGCACTAGACCCTACACATGGCCTTCCTTGGGAACTTGTGCACAAGGCCCTGGTGACATCTCACTGAACGGACAACTCTCAGATGATGCCTTTTGTTTACTGAGGAACTGTTTGCTCTATAGAAGGTTTGCAGTCACCTGAAATACCTGGTCAAAACTCCTTGGATCACCCTGTATACAGCTGTGTGGCATCAGTCTTCAGTCTGCCCAAGGCGTGGAGACCCCCACAAGGCTTCCAGTTGAGGACTAAACTCTGAACCTTTTTCTCCTACCCAAATTCTTAACTCAGAGGCTTAGGGAGTCACACCTGATAAGGACTCATCAACTGGGTTTTTAGTACCCTATTACCCTGTATACTGAAGTT